CAGGATGCATGGTGCCACATGAGAGAGTAACCGTGATTGAAATCCCAGAACTGGGCAGTGTGTAATTGAGTGATACTAAAAGACGCGGCATACTTAGACATGGTCAGCGGAAGGAAAATAATATACTCCTGTAGACTGAAGACAAATATGTGGAAAATATTCCGCGTGTAAATAATATTGGGAGGCACGGTGGAGTAATTGATTGAGGAATTTGAGAGCAAAGTTCGAATTACAGCAGAGCTTATTGCATTCATTTACGACGTAACAATCTTGATGCCATCTAAATTTCAAGACAGATTGGGCTTTATAGCTTTGGTTGGCAACCAGTCTAGGAGAAGGAAAACTTTGAATTCAAACGAACATGGATCGGGATCCATCAGGCTATCTTGTCCATAAAACACCAAAGAAGACTTTAGGGTTTCTTTTCATATTATATGCTGTGTCCTTTCATAACGTATGCGACCATGGCTCTCAACTTTCCCCTATCACTTGCAGCTGTCAACAAGTTCCGTCTCTCTGCCACCTCCCCAAGACCATGTTCTGTCATCCACTTGCTTAAGCCCGCTAGGTATGCCATCCGCTGTTTTCGTTTCTCTCTCTTTCCCTCTTTCGACCTGTAAGTATCGGAATCTCGAGACCCTCCTTTCTTATTGCGTGTTCAAGAAACTTCAGCTGCCTCTTCCTGATGTTAAGTATAAGCCTCGTCCTTGTTTGCATCCTCTCTGAGACCTCATCTTTGGTCATCCACTCAGTCCTTGATATCCACAGAATTCTTCTGTCGGACGACATCTCGAGTTTCTTCTTTATCTTTGAGGAGAACGTCCAACATTCGCTGTCGTAAAGAAGGACAGATATCACATGACAGCTCAGTACTCTGTACTTTGTTACCAAGGACATTCTTCTGTCTCGCAATATTCTGTCCAGATTTTGGAATGCGTCCTTGACCATCGCAATACGTCTACGGATTTCACTGTCGCACTTACTGTGATCTGTTAAAACGCTTCCTAGATATATAAGCTTCCACGTCTACTTGATCTTAGCGTCCCTAATCTACAAAGTGTATCTCGAGCACATTATTTAACTGATGACCATGGCGTCTGTCTTACGGAATTTATGATGAGGATATAATATAAATAATGATAATAATATAGCATAACATTATATATAAACTATTAAATGATAACTGCAACATAGAAATTCATAGGGAAACTCATCTTTGTTTTTATTAAAAATATGTTTCGGCCGTTATGCTCTCCGGTCTTCATCAGGTGCTTGTCGATCCTTCATCAGGTGCTTGTTGTTCTCGGTGAAAATGCACGGGATTTCAAACAACCCTTTTAACTCATTTAATTTGCATGTTTAGAATGTTCTCATTCGATTACCTGATAAAAACTGTATATTTTGCAACTTTTCAATAGTAAAAATTACACAGAAAATAACTAAAACATATTTTCACACGCTTGTTTACGAATGAAGTTCTCTATAGAAAATGATTCTTCATTTTCTATTTGAAATATGCATTTAGTATGTGGCCGATTATGGCTCGCCACAACTTCGTGTCCTTTGTGAATTTTGACGCCATTCCTTCCAACTTTTCCTCGCCTTTATATTTTGCTTCCGATATGTTCTATCAGTGTCTGTGACAAATTAACAATTTAAAACTCTTCAAACATCTTGTTTCGCTTAGGAAGATTTCAAAGTTTCATGCTATTAAGACGAGAGCTTAATAAAGAAACTGTTTATTCTTTGAATGCGAAAAGAAAGCGCATTTGATTCACTCCTAAAGTCAAATTTTCAAGAACTTCTCTTGATTCTAATACGGATGCCCCTAATTGATAAATATATTCTTTTTGTTGAACATAGTAACTTTTGTAGAGCACTATACTTTGCTCTTCATAATACATTGGTATTGAGATAAAATAATATGTATAGTCTCTTTTATATTACGAGCTTTTTTTGTCGCTGTTTTTCATCTTTTATTCAACAAATCCTACGAAGACACTGGAAGTCATTACTCTCCGTAACATGCTGACATTCTTTCTCTATGTAAGATTCAAAAGTTTACCCGCCTTTTATTTAATCTCGTCTGCCATCCATACACTGAAAGTCGTTAAATAGGCTAGTTTCTGTCTCGCTTCTTTTTTTCGCCTTCACTATGTCATGTTTGTCTCTATTTTACACACACATTGCTTACTGAACGTCCAAAAAAATTAATTAATCTCTTTCTAACTGTAATTTGTGTTTTCTATTTTCCTTAAAACTTGCATGATATTCACATATTCTGTCCATGCCACACCCAGTAATCGTCGATAGAAACTGATCAATGTCGTTTCAAGTCTCTGATTCATCGCTGAGAATAGTGCCTGCCATAGAAGAGATTAGGTATTACGTAGTAGTTCAACCGGATTCTTTCTTTTTAACAATAATTTCTTATATAACAATACTTTCCTTAATATCTGGAAGATATATTTCGCTATTTCAATGAAAAGTCCGATCACTTCCATTGTTTTCCGTCAGCAGTTACTGAAAGCTAACCTCCTCTAAATTAACCATTCCGTTCTAAATTATAGGTAAATATATTCCCATCACTTAACAACACTTGTGACTAATCGTATCTCCAGGGTGCCCCCCCCCACAAAAAAACAGAATATTTGTTACAGTTTATATAAATGTTGGAAATTGTTAGTTATTTGAAACAAAGCAAAAAATAGCAATTTAGTAGCTAAAAAAAAAACTGTTAGATGCGCTGTTCAAAATAAAAAAAGTTAATTTTTTTTATAAGTTAGTTCATTTTTTCTCATCATATGGTAAATCTAACATTTCCTTTTTTTCTATAGGGCACTCTGTAGTTAGCAATTTATAGGAATATTTTTTTAAATAGTGTACTTAATAGCTAAGTGAAACGAATTCGTTCTCTGGCGTAGTAGTTAATATAGTATTAGTTTCAGAACTGTTTCCGACGGTTATACTGAAAGAAAATAATATGTCGCCTGCGTTGGGATCAGTATATATAATAAGAAATGCTAAGAAAGAAAAAGAGTTTGGTTAAGGTTTCTAGCTTTCCGTCGTGCCTATTATGAAGAAAATCTTGGAAGCAAATGCAATTTACTACGTATATTACCTATTCATGCACTCGTGAAAAGAAATGCAATTGAAATAAATAAAAAAAAATTGGAAAGGTAAAAAAAGGATAATTTCTTCACACCTATTTTCTTCTTTTTTCTTATCATTCTATTCTAATATTTTTTTTTAAATTCATTCTGCCCCGCTTTTATTATTCTAACAATTATTTCTTTGAACCTATATTTGGAATTCATGCCGTCTTTTTCCATTCTCTTTTGTTTTCTCGTACATTCAACTGGGAAATTTCTTATTTCAATTTTCTTTAAAGAAAAAGAAGAACTAACAAAGAAATAAATGCATTCATAAACAGTAAATTGTCTCTCATCGCATCTTTACATCAAAATTCGTATTGGTTATACATTCATTTAAAACATTCTTGCTTGAACTTAGATTATCAATCACTCAGTCATTAATGTGTGGCCTATTATCATCAGGTGATGAGCGATCACGGTTCGCTACAGCAATCTTTTTACCATCTTTCTTCTCTTTGATAATCATGTCTCCATTATTGCCAGATGTTTTTTTAGTTTTCTACTTGGCCCTATGTTCAGAAGTATCAAGTAGTTTATTGACCGTCCCCAGCACCATATTTTCATGCTTTTCTTATTTCTCTGTGAGTGTCATTTTATTAATGTCTACTTCTTTCATTATACAGTGTAACCCGGATGTAAGAGAGTTGTCGGGACCGGAGAAGAAGTCTCTTATATCCGGGTTTATCTTATATCCGGGTTTAATCTATTTTGTTTAGGTAACACAGGCTCTAATTTGGGACCAGAGAAAAATCTCTCTTATATCCGGGTTTCTCTTATATCCGGGTTTCTCTTATATCCGGGTTTCTCTTATATCCGGGTTACACTGTATGACCACTAATTTTAGCCGCTTCTTTCTATATACTATCCTTAAATTTTTTAGATCTCTCCATAGTCTTTCAGATTTCGGCTGTAGGATAATATTTTGTTTACCTCAAATATTTTTGAATTCCTATAGAATCATATATATATATATATGTATCCCTTTTTAAAATAGTATACATAATCCCGAAAAAAGTTATTTAAAAATTTGACAAGTAGAAAAGTTTTCATTGAAAATAAATTTTATTACTCGTATCCCCATTCAACGATTCATTAGGTCCATAAAAGAAAGAAAGTAATGTATATTTATGTGTACGCTTAAATAATTAATCATAGTTCGATTTCCCTACGCTGTCGTTTCTCGTGTTTAAAAAAGAAAATGATTGACTTTAAAAAAAGCCGTTAATATTTATTCTGTAACTTTTCTTTATAATTCTTTGTTCATGCTGTGAAAATATTTTCCCAGCTTTTTGTATCGAAGTAAAGGCAAAATGTCAACTTATTTTTAGAATGGCTTGAAAGTAAGAAATTCATATAGGACTTCAGAACTTAATCCAATCAAATCCTATTATAATCCTTTAGAACGGGTTAAAAATAAAAGTTTTTTTTTTGGTCTACGTATGTGTTTACCGTGTCAAAAATATGTTTTTAAAATATGATACAAAATCTAGAAAAAGTTTTTTTAGGAAATTTGACACCTGAATAAATATGAAACTTATTCTTAACCAAAGCATTTCGTCCTTTGAAAGTAACGTCCATTAGAAATTGGAAGAGATTTCCACAAGTGAGACGTGCGAGAAAAGAATGTACTAAAATCAAATGTACAGTTACATCTATCAATTTCAACAGTAAAACTCTGAAACCTAGTAGCCAATCTAGTAGTACACTTAAAGTCTACCAAAGATGAGTATTCATTAGAACAACTACCATGACACTAATCTAACAATAACTATGAAAATTAAGAATCATTTTCTTTTCCATTGTTCATTTCACTATATTATTTCTATCTTTTTTTATTTATTTCAGAATCCATTGATGATTTACAAAAAAGGTGTGACAGTCAATATTTTGGATACAAATGCAAATTCAGGTGCCACTGCAAGGAAGACGAACCATGCGAAAAACTGGTCGGACACTGCGATTCTGGATGTAAAGACGGATACTGGGGACCTGGATGTCAATTAGGTAAGCGAATTAAAGAATAATACACTACTCTAAATAAAAGTAGTTACCTTTTGTGTTATTCGGTTTCAGGTGAAAATAAATGGCTTCTTATGTGATGTATTGAAAATGTCAATTACGAGCCACAAGACAGGTAATTTGAAAAATCAATTCAAATCTGGCGGTGACTTCTTCGTGACACATAGATTTTGGTGTGATATCCTCTTCGGGTAACATCCATTGCTTTGATATAGAAGCAATCGTTTATAGGTTTAAATATACAAATGATTTTCTCTACAGCATATGGTTATTTAAATGTGTTAAAATTCAAGGGTTGCTGGCATCTGCGCAGCATGGGTATTTTACACATTATGATCACCTAAAAATGTGACATTTAAAATTTGATATAAACATCCGTGTTGTCTCTCTATAAATCACATACACTTTTACTTAATTTCTATTTCGGTCTCCTTTCCCTCTCTCTCTCTCTCGCATTCTCTCTCTCTCTCTCTCTCTCTCTCTCTCTATATATATATATATATATATATATATATATATATATATATATATAAGTGTTAATCTTGCTGAGGTGGTTTACAAAGAAGAAGACAACGTACGTTCGATTCTTGCTGGTGAGGTTGATTTTCTTTAATAAGTCTTTCGATGTTCAAGACGTTACATCTTGCATTTGGGACAGCACAACGTTACGTAAGCCATTCCTCTTTAGGCTTCTTTTGAATTCAGAATTTCCCTTCTCCTAGACTCTTGAAGAGACAAAAGGAGAGTGTTCAGACTGCCTTGATAATTAACCAGACCTTAAGTAAAATAGACATATGACCTTTACAAGAGCACTAATTCGAAGCTAAATATTTGTAGGAAAAAATAAAGAGAAGCCACGTTATGGTGATTGGGAAAAACTCCTCTTGCTTCCCTGCCCTCTACGATATTCAACATTTTAAATGCAACCTCATTCGCAAACTTATGTCTTTCTGAACCTTGTTCTTTTATTGACCTTTCTTTTCATTAATGTCTTCTCATTCTTTTTCACTTCCAGTAACTAATTACGTCTTAGTTTCATTATCGACTGTTTGTGTTAAAATGATTAAAACTAAAAGAACAATACATCACTTCTCTGAGTTGCAGGAAGGAAATAAGAATGTTATGAACAATATTGTGGAAGTTTAAAGTGAAGTTCGATTTTCCCAGTATAATAACAATGCGGGCGAGACTTACGAATGACGATGTCATATTAACATGAAAATCTCGCTTATATCCGGGTTTCTCTTATATCCGGGTCTCTTATATCCGGGTTACACTGTAATATGCTATTGTAAAAAAAAAGCCAGCAATACATTTAACTTAGGACAAAACTCTCTTTGCAAAAATACGTAAATGAAACTTGATTGGGAAACTGATTTTTACAAAGAATACATATTCTATTCATATGAACCTATCTGAAAAATCTTTTCGGTATTAAAATCCTATTGACGTTAGTTTAGTAATTTTGCCGTATCCACTTTTAAAACGTCTATTCCCATGTGTTCAGGATTTGTATGCTTTCAACAAGTGATAGGAATAATTTCAAAACGTTATTTGTCTCGAAAGTTTCTTTAAAGGAGCCTAGAGTTTTGATGACAGATTCATCAAATTGTTTTAAATCGAATCAAATTTTTCTTGGGTTTTAACCATTTTTTCCCAGAAATTACTCGGCCTCAAGGTAACATCACGCCCCGTCTCAAACTGCATGGGAAAAGTTATGCCATCCAATTTTAATGTCTTTCTACATTTCACAGGTGTTCTTATCGAATATGCTTATATATTTTCAATCTTGTTGGCATTAAAATCCCATTGACGTTAATATTCCGTAAAATAAAATAAACCAAAATAAACCAAACCGATAATATTACCAACTAACAAATAGCAAATTAAAGTTTGAACAGTCAGAGAGATTTTTCATAACAAGTCCACAACTGTTGTCTCTTTGTAAATAAATCGATGGCACGGTGTCGAAATCACTGGTATACATGGAAAATTACCAATAAAGAAAAGATATTCGGAGAGTTTTTTTAAGAGTTAACCTCGTTTTCTTTATTGCAATGTTAACGCTGCTATGGCTGATAGTTCATTTGTCCTTTCGGGTTCAGCCACTACCGCAGTTACAACCACTGATATTTTGTACTTTTTTTCTCCAACCACCTGCCTCCAGTAAATTTCTATTCCTGTCATAGTAAACTCCGCCTCTCACTTTGATATCATCACTATCAACCACATCGTAGACGTCAATAGTTTGTTGTATTTTTTCTTCTGTGCGGGTTATTTAATTTTGGTTTTATTTTCTCTTACTTTTTTTACACACGTGTTATTTGCTTTTTATGAGAGTTATTTGTTTCGTACTCAACTGACCAGTTTTTCGCCACCCACAACCACCCCTCCGACATCTGCAGACAGTCTTGACTTTTTCTGTATTCTCTTCTTTTCCAGAATTCATACTTTTCTCGAAAAGCTGCTTCTGGCTCCTAGACAGTTTTTTTTTCTTTTCTATAGAAAGCGTTCTTTCTATCATAATGCTGTTATTGTTGTTGGTGTTATTGTTGTTGTTGTCGTTGTTGTTTTTCTTCTGCTGGTGCTGCTGCATCTTCAAAATCTTTTTCTTCTTCAAAATCTTCTTCATTTTCAATCTTCAAAATCTTCAAATATTCTTCAGTAAGGTCTTGAAAATCTTCTTCCATATCATCTTCTTCAAAATAAACTTCAAATATTCTTCAATAATTTCTTTTGCAAAATATTTTTCTTCTTCTTCAAAATATACTTCTTCAAAATATTCTTATCTTCAATACCTTCTTCAAAATAGTTTTCAAAATATTCTTCACTAATTTCTTCAAAATATTTTTCTTTCAAGATATTTTTCAGGATATTCTTCAAATTTTAAAAAATCTTCATCAAAATATTCTTCTGCAAGAAAATCTTCGAGCACTGCCTTCTCTTTCTTCTGAAAATTTTCTAGCGATTTGTTTCTTCTTTTAGAAACATTTCCCTTGTTTTACTGTCTTCATTCTTTTCTTTGCCTTCCTCTTTCATATGTTTTAAATGATACTTTTCCCACCTCTTTATTTGTTCTATTATAAGCATATGTCTGACTCTCAAACATTCTTCTTCTTTCTCTTTCAAACTCTAATAGCATTCGTCTTTCTTTTTCATCTTTGTTTTTCATAATTCTTTATATTTATACTTCTTTCTTCTCAACCATCTTCGAAACCTTTCTTTCATCCTTCTTTTATTCTGCCTATCAATTTTTATTCCCACTCCCAAATCACAATTTTCTTCTCTTCTTCGCTATTTCTTAATTATATTTTTTCCTCTTTTATACGTGTTCAACTATGTTTTCCTTTATTCGTCCTTCGAAGATATTTTCCTTCTTTCTTCCTCTTCTCGACATCATTCATTTTCCAGCGACGAAAATTAGCCTTAAATAATGGCTTTCCAAAGATTAATTGCATCTTCGACGCGACGGGCCGACGCTTGCATCAAGTGGCAAAGCTTAGATCGATCGGAATTCCGTTTGTCTCTTTGCGCTTCTCCATTAAAATTACTCTGTCTACTTTTTCTGTCTCATTTTCCAGCTTTTCCTTCGACGTCCAGCAAGACGTCTCTTGTTTTCTTAGTAAAACCTAAACATTTACTTTATTTCATTCACGCATTTTTGTATGTATTTTAAGATTCTGCATTTACACTTCTCTTTGTTTTCTCTCATTAGACTTTTCCTTTGTTTCTGTTTCGCTAAGTATATAGTTGATCGTTTAAGATTCTGTTTTGAATATTGTCAAAATTTCAGAAAAGAATTTGACATGTTACTGTAGATTAACTAAAAAATACGTTTTGGCTGATAAAATCTTCAAAGTGTTTCGTTTTGAACATAATGCTTGTTTTTTGTTCATAATTTTGGCTCTTTAGTAGGAACATTTCATTTTATTATCATGAAGAAATTTGGCCGCTAATTTCTTTGCTCTTCTCATTTGTTTATTGTTTCCAGTATTACTTACGTATATCCCAGAAGTTTTCAAATTCTTTAAAAACTAATAATGCGAGATGTAATATTGAACGATAGCTAATATAACGTAAAAACGAGTCTTGTAAAAATCAGATAAGATTTTAAAAAAATCAGTCACTTTAAGGTCAGAAAGATTGAACAAACATAAGAGAATGCTTTCTTAATTGGTGTAAGGTTCATTCTCTACAAGACCCGGGGGCCACTCGAGATAGAGGGTTACTTTAAGGGGTAGTTTATACGGATAGGAGAGGAAGATAACGGTTAACCTTAATCATGAACAGGTTAAGATTGTAGTGATCGGGGAAACATCCTCTTCGGTGTCTATTTCACAGAAAAATTGTTCGCGGAAGGAAGCTGTTCGAGTTGAACTTACTTCTTGCCAAATACGCAGGAAATGTCGGTTGTCTGCTATAATGTAAGTGACATGGCAGGTCCTAGCCGTGAAGAGCAGACATTGCCGAAGCAAAGAATTCAGTGAGTTCAAGCACTTTCCATGGGAATAGAAATAGATCAGTGAGAGTCTTTTATCGAGAAGGAAAAGAAAAAAAAAACAAAAAAACTTGCCTTCAATTTTCTGAATGAGTAAAATTAAATATGATTATTAGCCTCAAATACAATCTACTATAAATCTATAATCAACAAATATACAATACTACTAGTAGAGCCCGGCGTTGCCCGGGGATGTAACAGTAAGAGATAGATCAAGTATCGACGATCATAAAGACTGAAAAATAAAATTGACAAAGATTATTGTTTAAGGTTGACGGACACGCATGTGTTAATTAGTTTTTTTTTGTTTTTTTTTTTACGAATTGGTCAAACCCAAACTCAAACAAAAACATTGTTTTCAATCGTTATGAGTCTACCAATTGAATAGAATTTTATTAAAAACAATTGTCTTGTAAATGGAATTTTTAAAGCATTCTGAATTTAAAAATAAAGAAAAAAGTGTGCAAGACAATAAGAAACGCTACCTGCCAAAAAAAGTGAACTTTTGTTAAAATCGGTTGAAACATGTAAGAAATCCGATCCCATATATATACAAACACACACACACACACACACACAAACAACCAACCTGGGTTTTATAATAAGTATAACTCGATATGAGTTGATCCACTTTCATTAATGCCTCTTAATCGTGTTTTCAAATTGAGTTCGTGCAAAAACAATTGTGTTTTTCCAATTTTGGCAATGTCAGAACAACCGCAAGGTAATTTTACGTAGTCCTGTGAAGTTTTGTTGAAATCGGTTGAAAAATGTAGGAAATCCGATCCAATGTATAAACGAACAGACACACACAACCTGGGTTTTATAATAAATATGATTTAGATCACGTGTTCAAAGGACACTTTAGCGACAAGAAAGGCAGAGCATAATAATGATTGAATATGCGGCTCTGAAATCCGAACGATCATTGAGATAGAAAAGTACACATTGCAAAAATTTAATAAAGTAAAAAAGAAAGAATACAAAGAAAATCGTCGATAGATCCAAAGAGTGCTGAAATGTTAAGTAATGGTAATCCATCTATATGGCATTAGATGTTAGAATATCTCACAGTATCAGGCAAAGCTCTACGCAAAAGAACTGCAATTCTTCGGAATAATTCTAAGAATATAATGGACAAAATGAACGCTCGTACTCAGAAATCGGAAATAGCTGTAATTTCTTTGACACACAATGAGAAAGTGGGGCATGGAGAATTTGACACTCACATGTCTAACAGAAAAGGAACAGGAAAATTCAACGCGGATATCTACCTGAGGAACTTGTGTGTGTGGACGTCGAAACGGGGAACGCGTCTTACGTCCAAAACGCAAATAAAATTAACAGCACCAACGGATAGAAAGTTATTGAGAGCCAGAATCATCCACGTCCTGAAAAGACACAATCCATAGAAGACGAAGATAACAACATTTACCGAGATTCTAAACATAAAAGCTGTGATCTATCAACCATGTTCCTAGAAGCTTCAGAGCAAAAGAAAACAGAATTCATAATCACTCGCAAGATCTATTAATTTCTTGCAATTATGTATTGTTTATACGTTATTTTTATGGATATAGATATTTAAGTAAATGCTCTGTTGATAATAAACAGTATTAACAATATTTACCGGCCTGAATGGACGAGAAATTCCATAGACAATATGTGTCCTCTGACATGAATCGAACCTGTATCCTACACGGAACCGTCATATAGCCTGACGTGCTATACTATCTAGCTACAGAGGAAGCGTTTGGTTAGCAAGTTTCGATTCCTTTCTATGAAATTTCTCTGAAATTCAGACCGGTAAATGTTGTTAATACCGTTTATTATAAACAGAGCATTTACTTAAATACTTGTATCTATGAAATAATGAATAAACAGAAAACATTTTAAAATAATTTTCGGACGTAGTACATTTCATATATATATATATATATATATATATATATATATATATATATATATATACACACACACAAGAATAATCCTAAGGATCCAGGCAAAGCTATCTAGGTTTCACCTAAGCGAGATGCCAGCCTAGTTGAGCGCTTAAATTCATGAAGTATGGGAACCAGCGAAAGAGGATCATCGGATCAGTTACCGTGAAAGTATTTGTAAAAAAGACAGAGGGAGCCAACGTCACGTTTGTGAGAGAGCGGCTGCAGACGAGATGCCAGATCAGGGCCAATTACATTGCATATCCGTCTTTGGATATTATAAAGGACCTTGAGACAATTAGAAGTGTCTTCAGACCATATATGGCAGCAATACTCCATGCAAGGGTGATTCAAATTATTCTCCGGAAGAGTGGGTACCACTTCTTTGTTTATTTCTCGTCTCGTTGGAAATGTACACAAGTGTGCCCCAAAATTCCGACTTTAAAATCATTTTCTTCGTTCTCTGTTTTCGTGGAAAAGCCTATTAGCATAAAATAAATATCATCAGTTTTATTGATAATATTGTTATTATATTCGTCGGATTTCATTAACTGGAACATTAACTCCATATATATATATATATATATATATATATATATATATATATATATATATATATGTTGTGTGTGTTTGTGCGAGCTTTCGCACGTGTATTTACATAACTTTACAAATACTCATTTTGATGTTTAATCGAATATCAGATTCTTGTTAATCATTTTCTCAATTCCACAATGACTCTTTCCAAATGCATCAGTTACAAACCCATTCAGCCATTTGTATTCGCCATAATTTTGTGTAGATTATAGGTAAGGCATACAACGTCTTGCTAAACCTAATAATCGACTCCCTATAATGCAGCAGTCTCGCTGGTAAATGAATGTCTAATTCCCAGGAGGTGTACATCTGCCGTCGTAATTCAATTCGGTGACATCTTCATCTTATGATCTGATTAGCATCCATTTCTCTACCCTCTAATCAGAAAGCGTTACGTATCAGAATCATGCTCACTTATCAAAGTGACTAGGAATTTAATCCTCTCGTTCGTGTGATCTCACAAGACTATTTCTCGCAATATGGTGCTAAAAAAGACAAAATTTTTTACGATGTTTTTTAACTCCAGAAATATTGAGACTTACAACCATATCATAGTGAAAAACCGGTTCCCTTAAGATCATCGAAGTTAAGCAACGTCGAGCTTGATCAGTACCTAGATGGGTGACCGCTTCGAAATACCAGTTTCTGTAAGCTATGATCTACGGGTTGTCTAATGGATAATGGCACGAAATTCTTAAATGGAATGGAGAGCCGAGTTTAGATGCTACCTGTATTCGTTACATTTACTTCCGCAAAAATAAAGTTGGGACACGTGTGAATCCACCTCTTTCCCCCAGCTATGGGTTAATTAGCACGACTTGCCCCACAAAATCATTAATATCTAAAAAAATATTCTTAACATTTAAAAAAATATTTTCTGGCTTTAAATAACCAGTAATGGGTTGATAAGCCGTAGAAAACGTGTCAATCCATTCATATATCTTTATGAACGGAGATGAAAATACAATTAGATTTTGATCTATATTAAATAGAAAGTTGATTTCTAATTTTATACGGAAGTAATCATGATTGTCACGTTTGTTTTATTCTGAGGGTCTAGTTGCAAAATTGCAACCAAGCAGCAGAGGTGAATAAAAGAATGAAAGGGACGGAATAAAGGTTTATGTTTGAAATTCATATATCACCTGAAGATGGCCGGAGCGTACAACGATTCTTACCATCTAAAAAAAAATGTTTGGATTTAAATATCCTTCAAATGGTAGATAAGACGTAGAAAGCAAAGCAAACGAATAAATCTAATATACGTTTCTTTTAGTTTTCATTTTCCTCTAAACCTCCTCATTGCTCACAATCTTCGTCGATGAACATAAGGTCTTTTTGACTTCTAGTCTGCTATTCATCTGTTGAAAAAAATTCATACTTCATTCCCATATGGGAAAATTCGTATTGCATATCAGTGTTTTCTTTGATTCTAACGCAATTTAGCTCTTTCTTAATAATTTATTTAGACTGTGCGTGTTGTCTTTTGGCGCCTTCAAATTGCGTGTGTCTCATTTTTAGTATAGCATTTCCTTCTAACATTTTTTAAAACGTTAGTAACGCTAAAATTTAGTTTTTCGTGAGGCGATCAGCCTGAATGTTTGAAAAAAAATAACTTCAACGCGAAAACGGCAAAAGGAATTGACAAATAATATTAACATATATAACCTTAGGCAATTTCCATGTTGGATTCATGAACTATTGATTTTGACAAATGACATGCTGAGAAGAAATTTGCACCCTGTAAGCATAAACTGCTTTTTGATGATGCGTTGTAGCTTTTCAGATGGTTCCGATCAGGCAAACATGAAGTCAGATTCACAAATTCATATATATATATATATATATATATATATATATATATATATATATATATCCTAAAACGAGTTAAGAACTTTACCGGTGAAGTAGCAATCAGAGACTAGAGAATGATGAAGCATATAATCCTCTTTAAATGCTAATATCTTGTTTCATTTAAAAGACATCTTTTTTCACTTAAAAAAAAAAAAACAGTAAAAGTATAATCTCAATATAGGCGTGCCCACGCAAAAATACTTTTGAACATTTAGTTGATTTTTAACAAAATGGCTCTGAAACAATGTGGCCCCATGTTGATTTAAAATTTCGAACCGCTAACACCATAAAAACTACATTGGCTAAAACCGGACTTTGTTTGTTTTTTTAAATTTTTCGTGAAAACGACTAATGATTGGTTGAACGAATTTAGAACATGAGAACATTTCTACAAATTCCTTTACAAATAAACCTTGGCGTCAATCAATTCATTCCATTGCAAGAGAAATTCGCAAAAACGGTCAACATAAACATAATATACATTTAATTATTAACACATAGCCACATATACCAACACAGATATAATATGAAATTATATCCATCGCATGATTGTTATTCCATAACATTCTGAGTCGAGGATATTGACATTATTGTATTAATAATATTATTATAATATATTTAGGCGATGCCACTTTAGCTTTGAGCCTTTGGTTTATTTTATATTTTGAGATTTTCCTTTTATTTTAAGATTTACTTTATATATATATATATATATATATATATATATATATATATATATATATATATATATATATATATGAAATCCCAATATGTTAGTTTGAACAACATTCAGCTTGGCAGACGAGAAGAAAACAATCCCGAAAAAGGCAAACAAAAAAAAAGTGACCAAAAGAAGAAACGCTTCACAACAACATTCAAGGAAGGATAGCTGAGGCCGCTGTTCATTTTTAACGATCTTGCGATCTTTAGGCGATTACAATTTTCTACTTGCCTGAAGATCGCGAGAGCGTGAAACTTAAGTAGCGACTGGGGTTCTCCTCCGTTGAGCATGTACATGTATGTATATAAAGCCTTATGGCAATGTAAATTGTTCTGTCTTTATTTTTTTTTACTTTTGCTTGAGGACTGGGTTTATGCTGCATTTTCCCAATGAATATATTTTAGCTTTTGCTAATACTTTAGCCTTTTTCATATGGGTTATACTTTAATCAAAACAAAATCTGTTAATAAATGCTTGGTTTGATCATATTCTGTGTTGTATGAAAAACAGTTTTGTCATAACAATTTAATCAGTGAAGTTTTCCTTCACATCCGGACACAGCCAAGAATTTTTAGCTTCGTCCATTCTTGATTGATCGGATGGTTATTATGGGAATTACTTCTAAGACTTAAACCCGTTTTGCCATGAGTGTTCTTACTATCATTCTGCATTGTTTGTTAAAGGGAGTTGGGCGTTTATATGCACGAAAACTTCATATAGGTGGTTATTTAAGAGCCCTGCTGATAGTACGGGTAATTGGTGGAATGCATTCGTTGTTAGTTTTATTTGACGGGTCTACAATGCCGAGGGGGAGGGACAGATAGACATGGAAAGGTCGATGTTTGCTTAAAAGACGAGTAAAGTACCAGCGGCTTCGCAAATGAACATAATGGACATTGTAAGGACAAAATAGGCGTCGTAAAGTCAAAAGGCTAAATAGAACTTAGAAAATGTTTTTTCTTCTACCTTTTTAAGGAAACATGAAGGAAAGAGGGAATGCACTCAATGTGCTTTGAAAAATATACCATATATATATATATATATATATATATATATATATATATATATATATATATATATATATATATATGAGAGAGTGAGAGAAAGAAAATATGTGTACACGCACACATGCATATGTGTGTGAAAAAAGTATTATTCCGTGAATAAAATCGACGAAGGAATGATGCATATGTTGACACTAACTCACAGTCCGCCAACTACATATTTCCAACAAAGTCAGGCTATATATATATATATATATATATATATATATATATATATATATATATATATATATATATATAAAAGTGATTGAAGTCAACACTTCGAGGCCACAGGCTGTTTCACGCTAGACGCAATCGTCAGGCATATTGTGGCCTGACGATTGCGTCTAGAATGAAACAGCCTGTCGCATCTAAGTGTTGATTTCAATGTTCACTTTTTTATATTTATACACACTCTATGTCTGATAATGAGCACTTTATCCCATAAATATAGCACAAAGGTAAGAGTATATTTATTTCTTATTTCTTCACACACACACACACATTTATATATATATATATATATATATATATATATATATATATATATATATATATATATACTTGATTCCCGTCGAATTCAACGTATGAGGGTCAAGCAGATCAGTACATGAGATTTGATTATAGAGGTGAATGTTTCTTACAGGGCCATCCACACTTTTTTAAAGGCCGAATACAGAGACCTGGTGCGCTAAGTGCCACAAGGTACCCAAACGACCCTCAGCCTGTTTTGAATTCAAAGTTGTCCTTCTCCTAGACCAGTTGCCATCCAAGGCTATAGAACCCAGTCTGTCCTGCTATTTACCCATAGCTGGAGGGAGAAGAGGATAATTCACACCTTTCCATATATATATGTCTGTGTGTTTGTGTATCTGTGTGTGTGTTTGTCTGAGTGTCTGTGTATGCAAGTATTAGATTTGAAAGACGATGATGTCCATAATATTTTGGAGGTACTATGCGTGAAGAATATTATGTAAGCGACCGCGAAAATGAAAGAGATTTAAGAAAAAATTCGGAGAAGACACTGCACTATGCAATTAAAATTGATTGCTTTATGTGCTGGCTTTCGATTCTCATTATTCGAACTTCCCCGACTAATTTTTCACTTGGGTTTGTGTTTTGTTTTTATTTTATCATGAGCGTGTGATGCTTGGCGCCGTGAGCAACTATTCCTTCTATTTTACGAGTCAGGCAACCATGAAATTATTTTCCCTCCACGGTCATCCTCGATCGCCTAAATTAGAACGCGCATCAATCTCTCTTTATTTTGTTTTATTTCTCCGGGTTGGATATTGGCAAGAATAAAAAGAGAGAAATAGAGTTGTTAAAAATAAAGCGTTTCTTTTTAAGAGACTCTTACAAGTATAACAACATGAAACGAGGTTGTATCGCTATAAAGATGGTTAAATTAAAAAAGGAAATGATGGTGAATGTAGAGAAGGAAAAACGGATTGGAGATTATTGTCTGTTTAGAAGTAAAATGATGAAGATAAACAGTAGAGAAGAAAAGAGTTTACAGAAAATAAAACATTAAAATTGAGAGAAAGGGTAACAAATATTTACAGAAAGAGGCAAGGAATTTGCTCGCGATCGAAGTAAAATTTCAGAATTAAAATCTGTATGGAAAACTAAACGAATAAGAATAAAAAGGGGGAAAAAATCAGAAAAAAAATATCAGCCGACATGTTTCTTTATGTTTTTTTCTGTATGATTTCTTGAGTGGCTCTTCTTTTTAAAATGTTTTACAAACAGTTGCAATTTAATTTTTTTTTTCCAATTTCATTTTAGAAAAATCTGTCGTTTTTCGTTGTCTTCCAAGTGTCTATTTGTTTGTGCATTATTTTTTCTGCCAGACCCTAGATTAACTGCATTCCTCTCATAAAACCAAAATTTACTACCAACAAATGATGGCTCTCACCATGTCCGATGCATTTTATACATTTCGAGATATTTTGCACGCTATCAAATATCCACAATAATTAACAATTCACGCACAATGATCATTGTATGCCAGCGACGGCATTTAGCGATG